CAGCGAATTTTTGAATTCCAGAAACATTCGTGTATTCATAAAAGCCGTCTAAAGTCGGAAAGAGTGGGAAATTTTCAAATATGGGTTTGGCTCTTTACTTGCATGACCCTCATATTGTATAGTATGTTGTCTCTTCTACCTGCCTTACAGTATAACTAGATTTATAACGGTTCTGTGTCAGATATGTCCACATGTTGCCTCCTCAGGATGTCTCAGTATCTGGCTGGTACAGCTGATGTTCCTTGATGTAGTTAATGACAGCGTCAGGGACCAGGTACCTCACACTTTCCTTCCGCTTCAGGGATCGCCTGACAAATAGAACAATTTGCATCACTTTCTAAATTCACAACATTTACAATTCGGTAGGACAAACGTACAACACCTGACAGACAGAATATGACAACTAGAAAGGCAACATTTGCAAAGCAACTGCAAAATGTTTACCTTAACATGGTTTAACCTAACAAACTACAGAACCTGTTTATTTTCACTCAAACATATTCATATATATGTCCTGCTACATGTACATAATGTAACCCAACACCAACCACATAGTGTCTGCTACAGCACCAGTTACCATGGTGACAGTGACAGTCACATCCGGTCCAGGTCATTGACCTTATTTGTTTACAGAAGAAGAGGAAGAAGAAACCTGGCAAAACAATATGTTTTTCCTTCTGCAAAGGTAAAAATGACACATCTAAAGCCAAGGTTCCCTTTGAAAAAGTGATACTGTTCTACTTGATACACTTTATTTTTCTTACCTGATCTTTGTGGCACTTATCTCATTCTGAATCCATTCTGTCACTAGATGGATGTTGCTCTGAATAAAAAGCATCATGACTTGATCATTGATTATACTGTAAATAATATTTGTACACATAATTGAATATTAAAATAAGCAAGAAGGCAAAGGCAAGCTCTGCTATTTTCAATATTCAGAAATCAAACCTGTAATATGTACATAGTCCAGGATATATTTTGTGTATTAAGGAATTTGAGGTATCCATTAGTAAAGGTAAGTATAACTAAAAGTATGAAATAACTGAGCTGCTGCATACCTTATATTTTGACAACACGTCTGACTCATATATAAACTTTTCAGGATTAGACCCAGCTCTTGAAATGACAACTAAGCCATACTCAGACACTAGTTCTTTGATCTGAGGAGAGAAAAATAGACAAGTCAGACAGGCAACTATGTAGGAATTTTCCCCCAAATAGTAGTACATGTGTATGAACAAGAAACTGCAGCTGACAAGTTGGAATGAAATTTATTATATTTACAGCTGTGAGCGACTAGAAATTACAGATTAAAGGACAGGCATGTCATGGCCATCACCGTAAGCATATCTCTAGAAAAAATATCAGAGTAGAATTTTAGCAAAGTTTTGTTTCTTATGCCATTGCAAAGAAATACTCCTTACATGTTCATTCACTCCAGAGGTTGGGTACAGCAAAGGACTCCAGCAAGTCTGCACCACACAGCAGCTTCAGCTGCACATCACCTGATGCCACCTGTGTGCTGCTGCCAACAGGTTCATCTCTGTTATTTGCTGCAAGACATTTAATTAGAGAGTAACACATGATTAATGTGGCTACTATGAGCTACACTTATGGGCATGCTAGATTCAAACTTTACTGAATTCTAAGCTACACAACCACAAAATCTTACGTACCATTGTGTCGTGTTTTCCTCCTCTTCCTTGACGGCCCGTCTGTTTTGGCGTCCACTACGCTGCCGTACTTGTTCTGGACCTGCCGTTTCAAGTGCCTGGCCACCACTGCAGTCTCCAGCCAGCCTTTCTGTTCACTCTCCCAGCTGTCCACTCTGAGGATTTAAAAAGTCGTTTGAACTCCATCTTGAATTTAAAATCATAATAGACCTGTAGTAACTTTAACTAAGTACGTACTATGTTGTAACATATATCAAACCATAGTACAATGTTGTACTTCATTCCAACACATTGAGGACAAAGAGATAAATATTCAATGAACATTGTCAATTTCATCAGGATGAAGGCAACAGTAGTCCTTGAAAATCTGATGCTCTCTTTGTCCTTGTTGTGTTGGAATAAAGTTCAACATTGTACTATGATTACTACCAACACAGATGGAACCTTCATGCTATCAAACCATTTTGCTCAGAGTCTGACAATCAATCAATCAATCAATTTCACTTTCTTTTCCTGGAAGTTAATCCAAAAGAGTGGTATACTTACCTAACCCAGTCTGATGTGGAAAGTGCCAGTTGTGCCATGGCAACCCTGTCTGTACTGGGCACCAGTCCCTGGGGAGAAAATGTACAATTTCAATAGCTATTCCATGAAATGCTGCTTCATCAGAAAATTGTATTAACACAGCTGAAAACCACAATTCTTTTCTTTAGCAACTCTCCAATGTCACACTAAAATAGAAGTCTGCAAACTAAATCAGTGTCTGCCAATAATTTCCTGATTGTATTAAAATGGAATCAACCAATTACTGTAAGCATGGAGGTAATTTTTTTTACCTCCATGCTGTAAGTAAATAAAATCAGTACATAATTGAAGAAGTTTGAATCTATGCATCATACTGGTAAGTTGTTAATAGAAAAATCTTTTTGCCATTTGAATTTTGATGTACAAAATGTACTTTATTATGTTTACCGAAGGAAAACATATTGTTTCTGCTCCGTTTCTTCTTCCGTTCCAAACACTGACCTCTGACCTGGTCAATGACCAGGCTGGGTTACATAATGCTGCCATTTTATAGTAGGAGGGATTTAGACTCCTGTCACCATATACATACATACCATGTAAACATCGACGTGAATATGTTTGAGTAAGAATTAACAGAGCAGACCATGTGCAAAGGTAAACATGCATTTGCTTGGAAAATGTTACCTTTTTTCTAGTTCATACTTGGTTTTTTAAACAATAAGACAAAAGTTTCTTTACCTTTTTGCCATATTTGTCATGTGCTGGTGATATGATCCCTTCAACCACTTTAAACAGGCCTGTTCTCTCCAGATGATCACGGGCAAGCTCTGGAACAGACAATTTAGTATTTTGTTTGTTTCATGCGAAATTAGGATAACCAGATGGACTGAACAAACATTTGTATATTATGAGGAAGTTCATCCTATTGATTCATACATACATATGTCACAGGGGAGATTGGAATCCAGGGGGATC